GCTTGTAAATAGCCAACTGGTCTGCCTCCCGCCAGTTGGGATTTTTAAGCCTATTATGTTTAGTTGATATATTTGTTTCTTTCAGTTTAAGTGGCATGCGTGTGAACTAGCTAGCTGTGGCTAAGTGCATTGACCACTATAAACAACAACATTTTTACCCTACCAAACGCGCTATCCGATTTTATCATATAGACTCAAGCGCTTAACTGGAAAATATACCACTCGTAAAATTCATACGAATTTACATCCGGGACCGTAGTGGCGTATTTTCCTCATCCTCACTAGTGTGGATGTTGATGACGGCATTTCGCGCCATTGCATTGTACGGCTGCCAAACGCCTGTTGAAAGAGGGCGAGCGATACGGGATCGAGTTGAAATCGCTGAAGCCGACATAAAATCGTTGACTTAGGAGCACTAAAATGACAAAAATGCCAAAATGAAGAAAGAACTTCATGTGGCTTAAAAATATTCAAAGGTGTTTCTTCAAAGTAAACCAAAGGAGAGATATTCAAGAAATTTCAGCCGCCGAGCTACAATTCACACACGGTTTGTGCCTTCGACTCGCTTCTGTAGTTTTTGTTGACGTAACAAGAAACACATTACACGTTGGCTCAAAGATATGAATTTTATGTTCTCGGGGCAAAAACAATAAGTCACTCGTTCTCTACGCTCACCCGTGAGACATTGTTTTTGCCACTCGAACATAAAATTCATATCTTCTCGCCACCGTGTAATATCTCGTGTATCCGAAGTCACAGAGCTTTACATGTACGAGGCACTTTGAAAGAAATGGGATAGCGTTTGAGCGCTTTGCTCCATTTTTTGAATCAAACAAAGAAATGACCCGTCACATCGCATGTAATTTCTGTTTTACCGGTTTTACAGTAAAGTAGTCCTAACTTGTGTTTTGCAGTTAAAGAAACCTGCTGCTTGCGCATCTAGGATACCTTGAGTTAAACATGAAGCTTTCTAGTATAAGCTACTCCTTTTTATGTGATGTAAGGTCGTTTTTAGTTTCAATTTTTTCCCGTTTGTTTAAAGTTTACTCCTTGTCAAATATCCCCACTTAAGTCTTCCTTCGCCCTTGCTGTAATGACTTTTGATATCACTTTCGGGTCCGACTTCGGGAAGTCCTTTCTTTTTTTCTCACGCCCATAGATTAAGATCTCTGAGAAAGCTTCTATGAAATACAACCCGGTGACTTAATGAAACCTGATACCATCTTAAGGTTTTGTTCTGTTATCATGTCTTCATCTTAATGATACCAGTTCTTCTAAAAAGGTTGTAGCTATTTTGAACATCGGGTCTTTATTTTCCTGGTGACTCAATATATTTAAATAAAATAAATAGAACGTAAAAGATCTTTTTTTTCACATTTTTGAACATTGCAAAATAATATAGTCTTCTAATGTCGGTTTCTCTTTTTATCGCTTAAAGGAAAATACATTTCGTGTCAAAAATTGAAATGGTTTTGATTTATTTCGTTGTTAGATCCGGAATGTTGTAGTAACTCTAGGGAAGATAAGACAACCCTGCAGACTAAAAACACTTAACTTCATTTATTAACTGGACTTTTGTTTTGCCAGTAATGATAATTGCATGGTGACGTCATTTGTGTGATAAATACTTCTCAATAATACATCCAATTTTTATAGTAGTGTAGACTACAAGGGACATCTTGCTCTTAAGCCGTCTTTAGCAAAAGGGTTAAATGACCCGTCGTATATAACGGCGGTGATATCTTTGATTCTTATAATTACTTGACAAAACTACGGGTAATATTACTGATTATTCTTTTAGCGACGTGAAGTCTAAAACAGATCCCTAAGCGATATTTTTGTATTAAGGCAAGGTTATCAAACATCAAATCAATGGCTCTATTTATCAAAAAAATACGTTTCAGCTGAGAATTGAGAATTTTTTAGAAAACACTATGCCATTTTGAAACTAACCGAGATATTTTGGTCAGGTGCGAATGCTGAATACAAAAGGGGAAAACGTTTTGCTTTTGAATAGTGATTAATGTAACAGTCAGAGATTAATATATTGAAACAAGAAGACGTTTTGGAACGTTGTAAAACAAAATTTCTTTGAAAATAGTTTGTTTTAGATATAAAACAAACCTGACATTTAGATCTCAATTTCATTATGTTATGAGAACCTTGCAAATGCTGGCACCTGTTCATTAAAGAATTGTAAATCGAGGAAGTGATTTAAATAGAGAAACTCATTTGCTTTTATTCACTTGAAGCAGACAGTTGCCCCGAACTTTTCATCCGACATTAATGCCTTATTCTGTCACTTGGTAGGTTTCTTGTCTTGGCACGTTTCTAAAAAGGTAAGTTTTAGACCTTCAACTTAATATTAACTTCCTAGTTTTATTCCCTCTGTTGTTTTCTAATCTGAACAAAAGTGTGTAAATTTTGATGTTAAAATGCCTATAACGCACTAGTCTGAGAAACCCGCTTTAACTTGTCGGTCAGTTCCTTCTCAGATCCATACAAACTTTGAAATTGAAAGCAATTAGTCAAAGTCAACTCCCCGAGAAGATTCTTTTGTTCATCATTGATGTTTTCTATTCTCGTGAGCTGTCCACTCGACTGTTCACAGATATCTGCATACATTATGTTGTTACAATCCAGTTTATGTTTAGTAATAAGTCATTTCATATTTTCCAAGAAGCTCTTTCTGAGGGCTGGCGCAGAACTAGAGAGCAATTTTGAACTGTTCTTTCCAAAAATGTTCGGGCTGATATTTGGAAGAGATTTTCCGTCTTAAATCTTTGGGCTTCCCCCCAAGAACACATCACAGTAAAAGTTTCTGAACATAGCAATATGGCAGAACTATATACATTTCAAAATAAGCTCTGAAAAAGCACCTTACAAAATGAAGAATCGATATCTTTCCTTAATATTCCGCTATTACACCCTTTCACCTTATTAAGTCAGAAGAGAACGCGTTGAATATGAGCCCGTATTGCACTGTAGAGTCGTCTTTTGTTTTCATCCGCATGTGTCTTTTGCGATAGATACGATTTTCGGAAGTTACAGGATGTATTCTTAAAACTAAAAGTAGAAATACCAGAAAATAACATAACATAGGCGGTATAATTGCTTGTATTTTACTCACACTTTTGGAGCTCGGAGACCATTGAATAAGATGTATTTATGAACAACATATGAAAATAAACCCACGGGATCATATTTAAACAGAAAGACATCATTATCAAGTGAGTATATTCTGTGAAGCTGTATAAAGGTGTAATTAATCCTGGACTGTATCTCACTCAGGAGAGGTATCATTTTCTTGGATTTAAAATACCCACAATTTAAATCGATTAGATTATCAGTCTAACATCGCTGGATCTTTTTTTTTATTTTTTTTATTTGTTATCTTGCACAGGATGGCAGCCATTCCAAAACTACTCTTGATTCTCTGGTTCTTTCCCGGAGGTAAAGTGATTTTTGCTTTTATGGAGTTCGCTAACTAACCGTCAGGGTTTTCAAATGGCTTACTTGGGAGCAGGTAGATTTATATGCGGTATTTAACAAAAAAAAAATTATTTGATTATGAAACGCTGAAATCCCAGTGTCATTTAATTGCGAGACGTTTGCTGTTACTCAACAGTCTGCACTCTACTTGTCTAACTGTAAGTGGTATTTTACAGTACAGTATTTTGGTGGACAGGGAAGTGGTGGTGAAAAGGATGTTATATTCACATGCTGTAACTCCTTAGAGCGCTTCCTAAAAGCGTAGTAAAACGTTTGAGAATCCTGTCACTGGAGAATCCTGACTTTGGGTAAACATTTCAAAATCCATCTGTAATTGTCATAAGCATTATAAAAATAAAACTAACATTACATCAAGTTCCGAGTAGTATATATAAAAAAAATAGCAACACCTTAACATCAGTTTGAAAATGTGCACTATATTTGTTCGAAAGATGCTTTCATGCCACTCATTCTTACAACATTTTATCGACTGTACTTAAACTGATGTATTCTCAATACATACAGTTTGTATTTCGTTTTGAGCTCGCACATTCGTCAGACAGCGACAGAACAGTGACTGAAACACAAACGAACAGGCAAGGAATGTTTTTATTCACATTTCTTCGTATTTTCAGCGTAGTATTTCTACAGTACAATCACGAAAAATGTGAACCTAATAAACATTATCATCAATATAACTGAAAATAAGATCGATTGGAACATTTGTCAGGGCAAAGCAAGAGCAAAATACTCACGTTTTCGATACGACGGCAAGTCGGGTAAAATGAGGTCCTCGGCGAGGCGAGCACTGCTGATAGATGAGTCGAGAGTTCTCGTGCGCATGCGCGGTTGAATAAATTTACTTTTGGTAGCCGTCCTAGCTCGTTCCCCCCTCCCTGGTATCTTAACGTCTCTATGAATAAGATCGATAACGGAAAAGGTTTCTTAAGGGCATTCACTGTGGTAGTTAACTCAACCTTACACGGCATTGAAAATTGGTTTTCGGGCTATTTGAAAACATGCTCTATACAGTTTTGAAACTCATTTAGCTGTAGATAAAAGTTTAGGAATTATCAGTCACGTGACCAGAATCATCTCTGAGTAAACCAATCAGAACGCATAAAAAGCAATATTCACTCGTTTGTATATATTAAGGCTGATTAACAATATTGACAACAAGAATTCTGAAAATCTTAAATATAAATGTTGTCTTTAATATCTTTAAAAGAAGCTGTATGTCTAATCTGACATTGTATAGTCGACTTTTTACTTTAAGTCATTTTTAATCACTGTATAGATAGTATTTCTCCTCTTTTCCATTTTACGCATGTGCCTCTTTTTTTCTTTTTTTCTTTTTACCAACAGTTCAAGCTGGAACTATCCCAGGGAAGGTGAGTTGTCTATTAAACAAAAAAATAAGGTTTAAATCACTAATATTCAATAGCATCTTGTCAACAAAAAGATAATGCATTATTATATTTCTGCATCTGTTTTTTTTTTTTTTTTTTTTTTTTTTCAGTCATCTCAACTGCTTCACCATAAGATGACCAAAACAGAATTAGAAAACTTTTTTGGAAGTGATGATCTCTCACAAGGTAGCGGTTGTTTTAATACCGGGACAAAACGACATTTAACTTTCAAAAGAATGACATTGAATGTTTTTACGTAATCATAAATACGTATTTTCGAGAGATTTTCTCTAAAAGTAAGGACCAACCCTTCACTGGATTCGTGAGAAGGTTATTCATAGTAATTTTTTTTCAGCGAATAAGTGACCAAGCACCCTTCTGTGATCTCCTTTCTCTTCAACGTCTTCTTGGATCCCTCTTCATCTTTCTCTCATTGTAGCTGGTGCCTAATGAAGTCTCTATCTCTCTTTTCATGGTGCGTCGTCAGCTATTCCTTGCCCCCACTCCCCTCCACCCCCTTTTGCTTCCCGTGTAGGTTCCATCATAGCGCCCGCATTATTATGCCGGTGCTTGGCTTCCAAAGAGTTCGTACCGGCTGGTGCCATCGTCTTCTCTTGTCCTGTTGCTTTCAATGGAAAACCAGTGAATTTTAGATTTATTTGGAGGCTCTTAGTGTTTGCGAAAGTCTGAATATTGTTTTATGTGGCTTCGGTTGTCGTTAAGGCTTCAACAACGTATATGAACACTGATCTGACAGGTGACTTGTTTAGTCCATCCACTGCAAAAGTATTGTTCTTTAAAGTAGAACAACAGTTTACCGCGATTACTCAATGTTATCAGTGACAGCAACTTCAACTAAATGTACGCAAACAATGTTATTATTGCATATCATGATCCCGGCGCGAATATTGCATCGATATACTCGTCGCGCCAATGCGTCTCATGACTAGAGTTCTGCCGATTTCTCTCGTTCTGAGTTAAAACTCCTTTTCTCTTTATTTTTTGAGTTCCTGACTACGATATCACTGAGCTGTATCCATCTCCAGAGGAAAATAAAGGTGACCGCGAAACAAGAAGTATCCGAAAAGATGATCAGTCAAAAGAAAAGTTCTATAAGATGAAGATTTTCGACGAAGAGCTTCCTCTGAAACTCTCGTTAAACGATAAGCTCGTGTCACCTTACATGATGGTAGAAGTTCAGCGAGGTGATGGGACTACCGACTATCATCCAGCCCCTGAAAATAATTTTTATCTCGGAAAGGTGACATCTGACCCCGAATCTATGGTCGCTGTACGCGACGCGGAAGGAATGGTGAGAGCTAGAACATTGCTTCGTACTTAACAAGATAAATTGAGGACCATAACACCTGCGTCTTATATTCAGTCACCAAGAGAAAACATAGTAGAACGTTCTAGAAATGGCACGGTATATTATGGCATAATTGATGATCCATAATGGGGATTAGACCATACACACTAGATAACACTGAAAAAAGATGCTTTCCCAGTTCAGAGACGGAATATTTCATGATAGGAATACAAATACATACACTATCTTTTTTTTCTTGGCAATATGGAAAGCTACAATCTCGTGCAATCTCTCTTTCTCTCTCTTAAGGGTTGCAATGGCAATTTATACGACTCTGCATTGCATTTTAAGTTATGGCACTAGCAGTTGCTTTGAAAGCACACCTCATTTTACTGTAATTCAAGTCAATGTTCATTTTATTCATCTAGCATGGAGTGATCCGGCGTTCTGCTGAAACATTGTACGTCCATCCGCTGCCGACTCATCTAGCAGAACACGTCGGACACAGGCAGTTACAAAAGCCGCATATTGTCGTCAAGAGGTCCATGAAGAGCTTTTCAGGTAACTGCGCCAAAATAAACAGCTATTACAGCTCGTGGAATTCTAATAAAAATTTTATTTCCTGCTTTCTGACTGTATTCTTAATAGTTCCAACCGTAGATGTACTTTTGTACTTTCACCGTATTGATTATTATTATGACAAAGTAAAGAAATAAATATGTTTTGAAGATCAAAGGAATCCATCCAAGAGGGAAGCGCGCTCAGCTGGAACATCAAATAAATACTTGGAGGTTGCCCTTTTAACAGATGATTTCACAGCTGCGAAATATGGCGAGTCCAAAATATCAACATTTATGCTCACCTTAGGGAACATTGTAAGTGTTTTGCGTTGATAATATGCCATGATTTTAAAGGTATTCTACGCTGTTGGGTTGATGAATCACTAAGAAAATAACTGAAAAACAAGGCAACTGCGACGTAATACGTCCTATATTTTTGCGTCTAAGCTGCACAGTGCTCTGGAATGAATACTGCAGAATACGGGGACCAATTAAACTAATTTTTGACTATAAGTGTAATCTTGGATTTCACTTTCTTTATGGCGTCTGACATATTATTGCATGTCATTTGCCTTGACCTGTATAATTCCTAGGTTGGGGAAAACTTCAATGTAAGGTAAAGTTGCAAGACATGTCACGACAGAAACGGCTGGCATGGTCAGTTTCAAACTTCAATAACTTTATTTTTATTTTGCCTGGTAAGACGCCTTAATTAAAACAAAATTATTATCACTATTTTATAAGAGAAATCACCCTCCACTGTCACGCACTGTCTTTGTTAATTACATGCAAACGCGCGCCCTACTTACAAGAACACGATTCCTTGATAAATTGGACATTGGCATGAATTACAACACCCTACTCGATGTTTTTAAATTGTTGTGTATGAACCCTTAAATCTTAAATCGTCTCTCACTATGTCTGCTTCAGGTTGCAGGAATGTTCCAAGATGTCAGTATTGGTGAAACAAAAGTTACTTACGTTATCAAACGTGTTGCAGTTTTGAATTCAACTAAAGTAAGTTGACTTATGCAGAGGGCTTCACAATGCACGCACGTTCTGAACATCACAAGATGAACACAAGGGAAACCCGTATTTGTTATTAGATAAAAACACGCCTTACCGAGGAATTGTTTCCCTGAACTTGGAAAAGTTTTAAGTAATATACTCTGTCGATTGTTTGATATGTGTCTCTTAATCGAGATAATGAGAAAACGGAGAAGTAGAATTACAAAAGTCTACGCTAAGATCACGTTAGCCGTTATTACTTCCTTTGTCTTGGCTTGAAAAAGGAAGAGGTTTGTCTGAGCCAAATGTCCTTCTTTTAACTACACAGCTCTGATAAACTTTCCTGTGACCACTAGATTGATAAAAATGGCATGTAACGTGCTAAGCCGAGTGCTATTTACAAAAACCCCTTTTACATAATAATAGAAACTGACCGTTGATTACTTACGGGTTACAGAACTTCAATTATTCAATGTTTTTACTCATTTATATTGTCCAAAATCACATAACCTTTGATTTAAAGTGCCTTCTAATCTCCAATACAACATTTGATTGCTTTTTTTTTTTTATCAGCTTGGGTTAAAAAATCTGAATAAAGACTCTCTACTTAAGATAATCAACGAATGGACAAAAAATAACCATCACCTGGGACATGCTGATGTCTCTTCATATGTTTCCATGTAAGTCAAAATGCAGACAATTCTAGGTTGGCACTTTCGAACGGTATATGACTTTTATAGTGTATGGAAAAAAAATTTCTGTACATAGGGTTCAGAGCCACCTTAAATTTTTAAAACTTTAAGCTGGCTCTAAACCCTATGTACATAATTTTTTTAAATTTTGTCAAAAGTTAGGTCTTATCATGCCTATTAAAATTTGATAAGATAACTTTATTTCACCGTGCCGTTTTTGAATTATATGTCCCTGAAGCTGTAATTAAGGGTGTTGCCTTGGTAACCTATTGTGTAACGAAAATGATGACAACGTGTTAACCAATGACTGGGCAGTATTTTGATACCATAATTGTAGCATCAGTTGACAGAGTGGTTATAATGACCCATCAGAATCTAACCGCCGCAAAGTGTTTTTAGCCACCTTTAGCCACCTTAGCTTTGCCTACCTTTTGTGTCGCCTGAGGCAGTACTATTGCAGTAGCCTCCTGTGTGACAAATCGATAGCTACCTGTGAGCTCTATACAGATGGGTTTGTGGTGACATTTGATCAGAACATTCTCCGTAATCTTCTCAAACATTTGTTGGGAAAGGCATTTAACTTGTTTTAATTCCGCTCACTGATTTTCCGTCGTTCCACTCCTTGTATCAAAAACGAAAGCGCTTTACTTCTTAAATTTGGTCTTTCTGATTTGCTGATTTGATGCCCCTATTTTTTTATGTGTCAAATTTAGATCGTGCTTTCCCAACTATACTTCTTTTAGTATCAGCTGCTGATGTTTCCTCGCCATCATTTTCTGAACCTGGATGGACAATTTTGCTTACATTATCTAGGTTATCAACCTCTAAAGTTAACTGGCTCTACGATCTCAGTAGCTTTCACCGCATCACTTTCGTTTTTATTTGCAATCCTGTCTCTCCGTGATATTCCACCTAGCTCACTTTTGCATTTGCTTGGTGGTTGTTGTCCAGATTATTTGATACCGCGCTTCCTATAATTAACCTTCCTCGTCCAATCAGTAACCATCAAGAAACGGAAAGCTGATATTATAAATTTTTGTCTCCCATCGGTTTTATTTCAAACCAGTCTGCGTAATCGCTTTCAAATTTTCTTGGATGAGATTCTGTATAATTGCCTTTTCTGTCCGACTAGTTGGGTGATACTAAAACAATTAGACCCTTCGCCCTCAAGGGCCACGGGTCAATAGCCCATTCGGCCTCGCCTCATGGGCTATTGACCCGTAGCCCTTGCGGGCTACGGGTCTAATTGTTAATTAACTCATAAGTAAAGTTATCAGTATGATATTGCAGTGAATTACCAGATTTTTACACAACGATTATAAAAGGACCTTGTTTCGGAAGTTGTCAGCACATGTAAGATATGTTTCATTTTATTTAGCACCTCGTTTGCATGTCAGTTCCCTCTTTATGGACTCTTTATATATATATCGTCGTTTCAGTTTTGTATTTTATTCCTTCCTTACAGATTACTTGGAAATACTGGTGAGTGTTTCATTGTCATCATCCTTAGAATAATCTTTTTTCTCAGGAACATATAAAGTCAAAGTGCTGTACTACCGAAATGGCACGACAAAAGTCTCTTCCTACGCATTAAAAATAAAGACAAATTTTAAGCTTTTCTGAACTTTTCTATTAAATCGAGAATCAGTGTACTTTTAAAAGCGTTAGTAATTTGTAGCAGAGCTCCGGCGGTCCGAAGGGTTCGGGCCACCAGGCGGAGCACCATAACTATAGGAAGAGAAGCACATGCATGGATAGAAATAGAAAACCATGCAACTATTTTTTCATGGTCATCATAGCTAGCGGCATGGGTCGCGGGCGAGTGCGCCCTACGAAAACCGACGACGACTGCGCGCAACATAGCGCCATATTCCAGCTAATAGGTCGACCAAGTCCGTCCTTGGTTTATGGCGTGCATCTTTGATATTGGGCATCCGTGTTATGGTCAATTGACACCTGTCAAATGAACCCGCTGACCAGTATCACGTGACCATATCGCGGGCTCAAATTTAGAGCTCTTGCATCGTGGTCACGTAGGGTTTTTTAAAAGTTGACCGCTGACCAAGTTTGGGTTTCGATTGGATTGCGGGCTCAAGCCAGGTTAACTTTTTGTACTCAGGGCTGGGCTATTCGGAAGCCGGTTAACGCTAACCCAGGAATAAAAGTTAACTGGACTGTAAATTTTTCTTGTATAAAAATGTTTTTCACTGCTTATGTTTTGTGTAGTTTGAGGTTATTCAAACTCAAAAGAGAAGGCCAAACAATATAAACAGAAAACCTCATCGCAAAGTTGCAAAACCCAAATCAAATTTCTCGCTTATCCTGGGTTAGCTTAATCGGGCTTTGAAAAACCCGGCCCAGGAGCTCCGCTTTTTAGGCTTGGCTAAATCTATATGTTATGATAATTATTTTCTTTTGTGTTTTGGTCATAGTTTTGTTGTGTTTTGATACATACGTACTTACATACATACAAATGTTTCTTAGTTTTAATTGGTTAGTATCCTTCATGGTTTCTGGAATTTAAAATCCCTTTCTGTGAATGCAGTCTTTACTGGTGAAAAAAATGGCCCTACTTCAATGGCTTTACTATTAATGAACAAGTGACATCAGGACAGTTCAGTGGTCTCCTGCCTGATAAATTTAGATGTTAGATGCACAAGCCATATGCAAGGTTAAAGGGAAGAACAATTTTATTTATTGTATGATCTAGCAGTGCTCTCGCTAATTTTCATGGTTATTTAGCTAAGTTCTGTTTTAACTCGGACAGGGAGGGCAGGCCTTGATACAATGTGCAAAAGACCACATGGTGCCACCAACATTAACGGTGACGTCGGGTTGCAAACTGCTGGAATGATCGCTCACGAAACTGGTCACAAGTGAGTCCTTTGTCATAATTAGCATTTCTAGATAGACTGTTTTCGTGCAGTTGTCTAGTCCGATTGACGCTTTAGCCATTTTACAGCTATCAGTTTGTTCTCCAGATCTCCTCCACTTTCAATTCTCACTTGCTTTCACTGTATGGTCTTACCAAGGACGAACAGTGTATCGTGTGATGATTTGGTAGGAACTGTCATTTGATTGCGATCTCGTTCAAGGGTTAACACTGCAATTGTCAGTTATTAGATAGCCTTATCCAGACTAACTAATGTCTGTGTACAGCAAAGATTGGAAACTCAAACACACACTCACACTTTATTTCAATTGAAGTTACAAAATTAATACAATTGTAAATCGATCCTCTGGTAACATTGGGAGGTGGATCAGTTATAATCAGATTACTAAAAAAAAAATAACAAACAACTAGAGAGGCAAAGAAAATATTGACATTACTTTTAAATTAGTTCTACGCTAGATAACTTATTAAAAGTACATACGACGTGAAAAGAATAACTAATATATACTAATAAACTTCACAGGAACACACTATTTCATATCCTACCTTTGTTTACTTTTTTCTAGTATGGGTCTTAAGCACGATGGTGACAACCAGTGCCAGGGGGGTAGGTACATTATGTCTAGCTACCTCCCCAGTGGTATGGATGCCATGAGATGGTCGACCTGTAGTCAAGAAAAAATTCAAACATTTCTCAGGTAGTCACGCCATCTTACAAACTATTTTGATGACAAAGCGAAGTATACGCTTTGAGTTAGTTATTTAACATCAGCATAGTTAATTATCACAGTGCCCTTGGTGATAAATTAGAATTGAACCAAACGGAATTCATAATAAACCCTATTCAGATCAAACTTTTTGATCTTCTTCGACCGAGATGAGGGGGGAGGGGGTAGGGGGGGGGGACGGAATCTGACTTTATTCCTCCGTAACTCCAACAATGCATGTATATAGTTCGTCCAACAGTGTTCCCTTTGAGGTAAGGAACGTGCACGAGAAAATGACGTCGTTTTACTTAAGATTATGTCCTGATATCGTAACAGCCACCATCTTGGAAATAGTTAGAAACACTAAAAATGACGTAAAAGTTTTCAAAATCAGCGAATGTAAAACGTAAATGTAAAACGTATTGTACAAAAGCAAAATTTTGTTTATAAAAAGAAGAAAATTCCACATTTTAAATGCAGTTGCCGTGGAAACATGAAGTGCTGGGCAAAATGAAAAAATATGAATTTCAGGCAAAGTCATGAAGTATAGCAGTCTTCACAAAAGATTCAAACGTTTAAAAAGTCCGAATTCCCCCCTCAGTCAAAAAAAGGAGCCAAGATATCAGTAAATTTTAATAATGCTTTGAATTAGTTGATAATAATGCTACAACTAAAAGCGGGCTCACTAAGATATTGTTATGGGACAGGCAATCAATTTTAGTCAAGTAAAGTGAATGAATTCAACATAAAATGGGATTTAAATCGAAGCTGAAACTTTGAATTTAATAGATTACGAACTAATTGTCCCTAAGACATAAAGTTCCCATTCGTTGTGTCTATACTGCAAGATGGTAAAAAAAAAAAAAAAAAAAAGTAGATGTAAATCTTATTTCCATACACTTAGCTATACAAGCACTAAGCTTAGCTAGTTTACAGGCATGCCACTGAAACAAAGGAAACAAACATTTCAAATTTCGATGGTTTGGGTTTCAGGGGTTTTAATATTAACGATGTTAAATTCTACATCCATCATCGAGTTAAATTTGGAAGTTGCTTCTATAGAATAAAAGGTAATCACGTACTTTTTTAATATCCAATTTACAGTAGTATCCGTTCGACGTGCTTGGATAACGAGCCACCCGCTTCGGACGTTCTCTCCACTCCTTCTCCTGACGTGGTTTTATCTCGACTGCCTGGCGAGATTGTAGACGGCCACACGCAATGTAAACATCAATTTGGGAAGTCATATTGGCGCTGGACCGAAGAGCTGGTAATGAACTATGCGAAACGCACAGATTTTTCTTCTAAGTAAACCAGTAAAACATAAACAAGCGAATATTAAGGTTAAGAGCCGACGTTCGGCATCATCGTGACACCATTCTCAAGGCAAAGTGAATAAATTAATGGGAAGATTTGATTTTGACAGTTTATAAAATAATACATCATTGAAGTTAATTTGAAGCCGATTAGTTATAAAAAGTTCCACAAAAGGTTTACGAAAAGATTTCAAAATTATGTCAAATTAACTGTTAAATTTAAAGCTAAGAAGGATTCTAGCTTTTATGAGTGAATGACGGTAAGAACTGAAGAATATTTTTAGAAAATTGGCCACAAGGACCCAAAACCCGCTGTCATTTTTGTGAATCTTGTAAATCATTTAAATGAACGTCGAAGAAACTTGCTCAAAATTATAATTTCCGAGTCTTTGAAATATACACCATTCTTCATTCCATTCCTTTTGGGAAATTTTAATCTCCATGGCAAGTTAAAGAAGTATTCCTCGCTTTTAAAAATAACAATCTGGTAAGTCATCACCTTAGAATTTTTAAAGAAGAACTTCGTTTCTGTTAACAGACTTAAACTGCGGCGAAGTCTTTCGTGTATAACATAAATGAAAGCTCAACTGTGATTTTATGAAACTTTGATTAGCGTTCATCGAAAACTCTTCTATATTCCACAAATATGAAATCATAAACCTAAAAAACAATGACTAAACCATCTCTGGCAAAAATCAGTCACAAGATTTGCCGCCCAATCGGTCAGCTTTTTGAGCTACTTGATTGGGCTATTTTAGACTTTTTACTCTAATCATTCCGGCCTCAATTTGTTCATGATGAGCTACAGATTAAAATAATAACGTGCCTTGACTGAGGAAGGACCATTGTTTGCAGATTATCCTAAGAACGATTCACAGCGATTTAAATTCCTGTGTAGCGAGAACCTCAAAAGGTGTGAGATTTCGCGTCCTCGATAAGCGAAATCTTTAAGCTTCCAGTACAATAACCGTCTTCCACAGATTTCTACCTTTATACTACATTTTTCCAAGAGCTAACCAGATATACTTCAATTAGTTATCTAAGCCTGCCAACTGACGAAGTTTTAGCCAAATTGACTTTTTGACCGTGGCCACGATTACTTTGATTTTCACTGACATTTTTAAATATTTTTATTGTAATTCTAATTGTCTAATTTAATTTTCGTAGCTCTCTCTTCGTGACAATTATAGGGGCGAAATTATCTTTGGGGCAATGTAAAGTTCAGTCAATTACTTTCTGTTTGCAAGGGTACATGCTCTAGGAATAAATTTAGCTTGAGATGGATTCAATTTAAGCTATATATTACGAGGGGAGATTTCGAAACTTCCTTCCTTTGTTGTAACAGTTTTTCTTTTCCTTTTAAGAGTAATTGTGCCGTTTTGTACTGTACACCTGATGGGTATTCCCGCGAGAGTATCAATACTCCTGTTGCAGATGGAACAGCATGCGGGCCAAGGGATGTATGTTACACTCTTTACATATAAGCGAAAGAATCACTGTATTTTGTCTCAATTTCTGTTTTGAAATATCCTATTTTAGTAGAATTCTGCGAGCATACTATCTTCTGAAATGCTGCATTGTGATTGGCTAATCTTTCGCTCGTTTCAGTGTCCTGGGTACAGTGGTTGTAGTTGAATAAAATAGTGACGTTTTATCCTTTCGCAAAGAGTGGAGTGGAGAAGAGTGGAGAAGACTAAAAGAGGGACATTCAATTCATTTTAGTCCACTCGTTTACTTGGAGAAATAACTGGCTGTTACCCTAATCCAGCGCAGGCTACTGCCAGCGGTAACTAATGGCAACTTCCTCAGTGGAAGTGTGAAACACTAGTAGATACCAGACCGTCGTCGTTAAAAAGCTGTTATTTATCGTTGTGATGGTAGTCTAGGGTTTGCAGACATAGAACAGGAGTTATTTGAGAAGCTACACAGATCGTCTTAGGTTATGTAACTCTTCTCCTCATTTGCAGTTTGAATTATGTGGTGCCTCTGACGGGTTAAATGTTTTTGCTGTGTAGGAAACTAAAAAACGTGGTTTATCGTTTCGATCGAGTTATATGTAGATCAAAAAGCCTTCGAAGAAGCGAAAGCCATGTATTATACTGTCATAAGTTGTATTTTTGGCTCGTGTTGTTTAGCGTATGCTCATACATGCCAGTTGTGTTTTCTGAAAGCAAAAAACAAGGGGGGAGGGTGGGTTGTTATTTGCTAGACGAACACTTTGTTTTCAGTCTTGGCTGACAGCTAGTTTGTTTTTTATTCTTGGTCAGTGGTGCATTAAGGGGAAATGCCAAGATAATGGACGTCCACGTGTTGATGGAGGCTGGAGCAAGTGGTCAGGCTACACCCCATGTACTCTCACCTGTGGGGGTGGGGTACAGTACAGAAAAAGAACGTGCACTAATCCAGCGTAAGTCAGTAAACAGCTTTAGATTACTAAATGTATAACTTGTTCGCTATGGACTGAATTAAAACAAACATAAAATAAGCTGTAGAATTACATGAAGAGTGAGAAACGGATATGAAAGGTGACTAAGCCTGATATTTTCCGCCATCATGTCAATACTTTAATTTGAATTTGTAATTTGAATTTGTCATGTAAATAAGGATATTCAAACAATGTACATATTAGTTTTTCTAGTTATCTCTGCTATTTATTTATTATTTTAACATTGATGCTGAAAAATCCTTTTCAGGGATTCTCAACAAAGTGTATGTACGTTATATAATGCGAATATTTTTGCTGCATGTGTTTTCCATCAGACCTAAGTATGGAGGCAAAAGCTGTCAAGGATCAAATATAGGTCACTGGCGGACCTGCAACTTTATGGTAAGCTAACGTCCGTCCGAAGTAGACTACATTATACTAATACTACTAATAATAATACTAATAATAATAATAATAATAATAATACCAGTTATCATTGGGGCACTTGCAGCTATCAAAAAGGGACTAGAAACTTATCTTGGAAGAATTCCGGGCCAATTAAGCATCAGTAAACTACAAAAGATAACCTTGCTAGGTGCAGCACACATTTTGAGGAGGGTGCTATCAAGCTAAAAACTGGCTATCCCCTAGTGCCCCAGGACCATGGTTTGGTCTCGGCCCTAAGGACTCTAAGCA